CCAGATTATTATTTGTAAGTATTCTGTAATAACAAAATATTGACATTAACTATTTTAATATTAATTTTCTAGTTGTCAGTTATGTATTGTCGATATTTTCTAACTGTAATAAAGATGACCAAATACTATAAATAAATTTTTATTTTATTGTATCAAAAATTACTAAAATGCTAATTAAACTAAAATTAGTAAAATAACTATTTCACTGTATTTCAATCTGGACACATTGTAATTGTATTCAATGTAATTGTATACATTGTAATCCTTACTTACTTCCTACATTTTTAAGAATATATTTCATATATCTTATAATTATTTCATTAGATATTTAAAATTTGGTTATAATTTAAAATTTTAAAATTATTTATAAACTAAAAGTCATTTATTGCGCAAAGTATCCGTGAAAAGTACCGGTGATCGCGGATTTGGTGCGAAACCGGGCCCGACCTAACTCTGTGAATGTCTTGGCGTCCAATACCAACAAAAAGCCTTCCGTTTCGTCCAATTCAGAGAGTACTGAACACAGGACCACACCTTTGGTGTTGGGATTTAAATATAAAATTAGCATCAATTTGATTAAAAATATTATAACTTATAATAATAGACACGAACCGTTGTCTTCATGATTAGGATCTGAATAATGAATACTCGGATTCTCGACGAATACGGGTTCAGAACATATGGCGCTCTCTTCCCACCAAACGATCGACTCTTTAGTCTTTGTGTCAAATTTCATCTGAAATTATAATAAGTTTTAGCAAAATTTATAGTAACTATTAAAATACTTATTTAATAAATGAGTTTTAATTACAATTTTTGTTTTCATGTCACCATCGCTCTGTAGTATTGAATAGAAATAGCGATACTTTTTGCCATTCAATAGATAGTTAATTCTTGGCAGCTCTCCAACAGCCGGACCTATTCAGCAGTCAATTATCAATTTGTTAATACAATAGTTATATTTAAAGTTATATTTGTTTATAGATATACCTGAACCAGTGATTGCCTCGTATTTTAACTCAACCACAGACTTATCAGCACTGATAGTAGCGCTGGCTTTAGTGTAGTCCAAGTCCACCAAATTTACACCCGGTTTAGCCTATCGTTTGTATTCAAATAGATTTAATTAGTAAATGATTTTTGTATTTAAGTTGACATTTAAATACATCATTCAATTGTGGTTTAAGTGGCAAAACAAATCGTCGCACTTGTGTGACGTAACCGTATTTCTGATTGTTTTCAAACACATCCTTCCAGTGCTGTATACTTAATGCCGGTCCAAGATTACCATCAGGGTAACAGCATATGTCTACAACCA